TGTTGTAGTTGTTATGTGATGTGATCTAGAGCTAACCAAGCCTGCACGGCAGAATAGAAAATATTTTTCTGGCCATACGGAGTGGTTTAAGACAGGTTTTAAGGACTGACGCAGCAGCTCAAGAGATTCACTCCATTGAACCTCTCCTCATCCTGGCATGTAATCCGTAGGTTTGATTTTTTCCCTCTTTTTTCGTCTTCCTGCTACGAAGACACGTCATTTGGATTCATTGGGAACTTCCAGGACGTGCCCAAGTTTATTGATGCTCATTCATACTCCCTATCCGGTATCGTTCGTCCATCTTTCTTCCATCGTTAATAAATGAGTGCCACTTCGTGTAAATGATACAGGAGACTACACGCTACACTTGTCACATTGATGTAGACTCTGCCTTTAAATACATGAGGCACTCCTGGCTGATGGCATAGGAGCTAAGATCACACCGCACTATCAAATTCGTGAAAAGACAGCCACCAAAATGGCCCAATCATAAAAGTGAAGGAAGATCGACATTCCAACAGTGACAAACGTTCCGACATTCCGATATTCTTTGAACTCCTTTCAATTAGCTTCTTTTCTGTTTTACAAGACGGTTTGAAAATTACTTGATTTTATTTTACTCTATGGAGTGATAATGTTCAACCATTCCATGCTGCGACAGGTAGCGATACGCAATGCTCTATCGTAAATCGGTAGCCCAGGCTATCGCTGCCTTTCAATCATACCATGATTACGTTTCCACTGATTGACGTTCTATTGGAGCCGTTAAAACCATCCTCGCTGAGTCATTCTCCACATCAGCTTTTTTACTCTGACTAAGTTCGTAATTCTTTTCGTTTCCCTTCTGTTTTTTTTCTAGGTAGATATCCGACATCATTACCGTTTTTCTGCTCCACTTCATAAGGATGTTTGATTGGTTTCCTACAAACGACCAGGAACCCAATTCCCATGTTACTGGGCATAGATTACGATGTGCCATTTACATGCTACCTGCGTCGTTTTCCTTTTCATCATAATCGAAGTGGAGCAATTAATTCATTTTTTGAAAGTCTCCACAGTAATTATTAAAGCAGATAGTGTATCTGTCGAAAAAATTTCAAGTGGAACAAGGTACTGATCGCAAATCTGGAGCAAGATCGGCAACCATTCTGTGTCTTATGGTGGTACTACCAGTAGGAGGGGCTTAGCTTTGTGTAGTTGTTCGTCATTTGGATGACGAGCATCACTGGATCGGGATTCACGGCTCGAGTTTGAAAGTGTCACAGGCACTTTTGTCAGGTTGTACAAAGGTATATTTATTTAAAGATATATCGTGGGGAAAACAAATGATACACAGGAACGTAGGTACTGGCGCGTTAATGGTGTAACAGTGGTCACAGAGCTGAGTTATCGTATACGCCTCTTCCCTCTATTTTGTTTCGCTTTGTCCACGGGCCCGTGTTTAGAGCTGGTATTCGTCGAATAGTATGCAGCAGCTAATCGGGCCGTTTAATCTCTCAGGCCGACCCAATATCCATTTAGGACTAAAACTGGGACAATATGAAGCATGAAATGAATCCGACTAGGTCTTAGAACAGGCACAGTCGGTCATCATACGCTGTTAAAATTTTATGCGGAATTGAGGTGAAGAGACTCAACAAACTTGATCATTCGGCGATTTGAGACACCATCAGCTGTAGAGCGCTCCTTCTCCAAAATGAGATACATAATTGTCATGGTTTGAGTTGGGATATATGACGAAATAGTAATTTGGAACGCACTCTCTTGTTAGAACTACACAGAAGTCGGCCAAGAACTGAGGAGGATCAGAACACTCTATTCTGTTAAATAGCTAGCAACCTCATGATATGAAGGTTGCCTGATTAGGGAAAGAACGGGACCATTTAAAAAGTTCCTGCTGCCGTTGCTACCATGACCCGAGAGAAGGGATGATCTCGAAAATTAATGATGCAAATAACATAGTATGGGCTCCTTTATAGAGCTTGCTATCTTTCTCAGCTGACCATATGCCTCATACTAAATAACTATCGACTGCTGCGGACGACTAACCACACTGGCGAAACCGCCAACCTAAATTTGAAGGAAGCCGTGAGACATTGGCCGCAACGTCGGTATTGGTCAATCACCAGACTGACCATAGTATCTTTCGCGTTATGTATAAGTAAACTGTGGTTTACGCTATTTTTTCGTAGTAAATAAATGAGATAAATGATTGTCCTATAATTTAAAACTGCTTGGTCTCTATTTCGTCGATTAGATATTTGAAAAATTCGGTTTATAGCGTGAAAGTTAAAAGTTATTTTTAAAACAAACAGCAGGGCTAGTTGACTATCGGCTAGTTGACTTGGATATTCGTAAAACTTGCCGCGCATGCTTCTGTCCGATAATCTTCGCTCGTCGCATGCAGGTCGCAGCTTTGGCCTTGATCCATATATCTGATTCTGAATCGCTGATTCTCGATTCGACGTATTACGTTTTCGATTCGATTCGATTCATCGAATTTCTTTGGGTATCATTTAATTACCTAACGGCTGCAGAAATTTATAGTTTTATTGATTTGGGGCTGACAGGCAAGCGCGACCTGTCCGTTGTGGAAGCTCAGATTTCGTGTGACAGCCTGCGAATCATCTGGTGTTCCTGTCGTTCTTGTCTTGTCTTACAACGGTGTCTAGTCGGACGACGTCGTCTGCGCCTTTTGCCTAGCCTTTATTGCCTCGTTTCGTTATCCGGTGGTTTGTACGCTTTGCCCGTTCGATCGCTGTCCGACACCAGTCACTCGGTAGGTTGCGGTTCGACCGAGGTACAAGCGGATTAGCGGCGATTTTCCACGTCACTTGCGCGGGAAGAAAGCATGTGTTTTCACGCCAACCACCGATGCTTCCATTTCCCACTTCCTTGTCGTTCCATTTATTATATACGTTGTGATGTCGCCGCCTCTTAATTACTGGCCATGTAATTGAAGACGATCGGTCAGCCGGCAACCTGCTGTCGTCGCGTTCGCGCACTCGCAGAAGACCGTCCCCTCCGCGTCGTACCCTGCCACCGGTGCCGGACGAGACGAGCTATGAGGAGGCGCGGTCCTCCGCGTCCGCAGACTTCTCTCCTTGGAACTCAAGTAAGTTACGAGTTGCTTTTCAGCGTCCACTCTCATCCGACTTCTTTGCGTGTTTCTTCAGCACTGGACGGCTGCGGTGGCAACTCGGTCCATTCGTCGTCATGCTGCGTAAAATGCGACTCAATATCCGACAAAAGGAAGCTGCCTTATAATGACGATAATAAATATAATAACATTGACGTATGTCATTACGACTCACGGGTTCCGAATGATCACCGGCTGTCGACGACGACGGCGGTCGGCCACGATTCTGCAGGTATAGTACATAGGGTGCTTGATACGGTGGTTGTCTCCAACCGGATAGCCCGGCGAATTAATTAATTAATTAATTAAACATCTACCATCACTCGCCACTGTCTATCGTTGTAGGTCTGGCTGGCGGCGGTAAGAACGGACTGACCGGATCGTTCAGCGCCGACTTCAACAAGCGGCCTTTCAACAAGTAAATTTTTTCGTTTTATCCAAAATCTGGGTTTAGAATAAACTTAATATTATTTTCGCTATCATCCCTCTGTATGTGATACACGACTAGTCGATTTCGGTACCTTTTAATGGACCGTCGGTCGTTTCTACTAGTGAAGCCAAATGTCGTAGCTTGTGACCCTTTCGGTATGACAGCCAATCAGCGATCGACCAAAGCGTGGAGAAAATTTTTATGTCGAGGGGACAGCGGTAAACAGTCGCCACCGCCTCACCATCGAATACCCACTGTATACCACAAAAGCACTCGTAACGTCGAAAGCTGAAATCCAGTGATTTTGTAGCTTAAGCGGGGAATTTAACGATCGCCTCGCGGACGTCGAAACGGTAGCAGAAGAGATGTACCTGGAGAAGGATGTTGGCCTACGTCATTCGTTCGTAAACGATGCAACTACAACAAAGATTACACCTTTTGATAATTATGACAATGAAAAAACAGCTGTCAGGTGGTCAGGTCGAATTGCAGCTATCTGAGGCGCTCGCACCAAATTGCATGGCTGTACTACTCGGTCATTGCGACATGACCGTATCAACGCACAACGCTGTTACCGTGGTTTTCAAGTTAGTGATTTGCTACCCGTTTCTCCTCTGGTTGCACCGAAGTAACTTGGGGTAATTTTTTTGCCTATGGGAATCATTGGTTAAAAGAAAGATTGTGATTTTTCGGGACTCACGCCAGGCATCTCTGAAATTCGACTCCGATCTCTTTGCCTCTGTGCCACCACCCACTTTCTGTTCAAATAGGAAGCGCATGACGAGAGCATTTTATTGTGCCCACCTCTGGCATAGGTATGACCGAGGATCCCATGTGATGTCGCTAATGTTTGAATTCAGAACTGCACTGTATAGATTTGGCAGCTTCATTTCGTGTTTTTCATCTTCTCCTTTTCAGACTGGGGGATGCATTCACACTTTTTTTGAAAAGCAATTATTCTTTCTCGTCTGCAACCTGTTTGGAAAGAGGGTTAGATGACTAAGAACAGTTCTTCACTCAGACAGTAGCGAAACAACGAATAAAAGAAACTTGGAAAGAGATACCTATTCTGTGTAATGGAATATTGTCGTTACCCTTTGTCATGGTCATCTGGAGTTCGATAAGGTTGACTGAACCTCGAGGTGATTTCTCAAAATACTTTAAACGTGAACTGCTTCGACAGGAGAGATGCTCCTTGTAGCGAGCAGATTTTATAGTAAATTTTAGTAGCCTTTCTGATGGTCTTTTTTCTGCGCCCCGTGATTCGCTCTCATGGAAGAAAACTTGTTGTCTTGTGTACTGTTTTCTGAGCAGTTTCATTGAACCACGAGAGTTGCAGCCGTCTTAGATCTTAAATGAGCTTCTCCAATCATGCTGTTTTAAGGACATGATCGTTAGTTACTCTGTAATACCAGCGGACCTCGAAATTTTCTCAGTTATGGTGCTGGTAGCGCTTCAATTGATTTTTCCCACCCTTCCTAACCGCTGCTTTCCAAATTATGCACCGCTATAGTCCATGCAGCTCAGCAAAGTTCGTTGTTTCCAGTCCTATTCCTCACCTTATGCCAGGGTCCCACTTACCGTATGAACCGAAGTGTTTGAATCGATCGACTTTTTCCACGGTCGTACCATTACGTTTAATCTTAGTTGTATCGGTTGCCTCTGGCGTTTTCTTCACCGTTGTTTGTTAGTAGAACATATACAGCGCTAGAGGCTTGAGAAACGTGATACTCTAATAAATCATGAAAATCTTCTATTTTGGTCTCTCACGTGAAGCGCTTTTGTGACCGTTACAGAAAAATGTAACTTTCCTAGGAAGGTACAGACAGTATGTGCATGGTTTGTTATTTTCATAAACTAAACCATGGTGACCGCAATTTATTCTTTGGAGAGTTTTCTCGGCTCCTGATGACATCCTGCCGCCGTTCTTCACCAAACGTGCAGTGTATTCGTTAGTCATGTTTCGCACTCGAGAACATGTACCTCAAACTTGGTTCTGCATACACGTATATATAGTTATAGATAACTTGTTGTGTTATGTTCAGTGGTATGATCGTCGTGAAGAGTACATCACGAAACATTATCTCTGAATACCCGTGCCAACACTTCGCTGCCAGGATAAGCACTACTCAGGGCACCGCTCCAAGTGCCATAGGCTGAACAAAAATTATAACGTTTCCATCTAACCGTACTTTTGGTCTCCAACCATAAATTGATAGATGAATGGACTGATAGATGCATGACGATAGATAGACCGAATATATGTAAAGCGTGCAGCACAAGAGGCGAAACATACATGACCATTTAGGCGCAGCAAATACGGTACTTAAGAGTAATACCGTCACCGGGTTTCACGTGACACGAGTATAAGCAGTCTGTAATAAATCGATGCTGCGTCTCGTCGCATGCGCACACCAAAAGGTGCTATTAATAGTTTTGTTTGCACATGCTTTTTACTTTTTTGTACCCATAGAGCAGCTATGGTTTTCTCTGGACTAAAGTATTGTAGGAAAATTATTGAAACTTGTTGCTTGGATTTAATGGTTTTCCGTAAAGCGATTTAGTGTCACGTGCTGCCCAGTCAGCAGTTACGCAAGTTTTCGTATGAGAAACATGCTAAGGAGTTACAGTCACCCTCTATGCGATAACTTGGCACTGTGCTCATAGCTGAGTACGTTCATCCGATCCAAGTATGTCAGTATATCTGCTAGGAAGGAATCCTGTATGAAATCGTCATTGCAGCCTCAGCACGTAGCCAACGTGGTCGGGCAATGTTTAATGTTATTTTTTTGCGTTGTACTGTAATGGTTGTTCCCTAATATAATTTTGCTCATTTTATTGTCTAGTCAGTTCCAGTCAGCTTATCAGCTGGTGTTTTTCACTTGTTTTGCAATAGTTTTCGTGAATGGTTATGCAGTGTACCATTTGTGTATGTTTTTACATTCAGTTGAGGCAATCAGGGCTAAAGATAAATGGGCACGCCGTAAGCTACCCGCTTTTTGCCGACAATATTCCAATCCTCTAAAGAAGTATCTAAATGATGAACGAACTTAGCATCAGAGCTGGAATAAAAGTAAACCTGAACAAGATTGAGGTCATATTTGATACTAGATGACTTCGCGACTTATTGAAGTCATTGAAATTGTGCTTTCAGAAGCGAAAAACTACGTCTTCCACGACAGCTGAT